TATAGCATAGTCAATGGCTAGTTTGCCAGCTCTTACAAACGCTCCATTTGTCAGGTCATGATTAAGCTTAAAAGCAAACATGTTGGAGGGGCATTCTCCAAGAAGAATAAATGTAAGCAGTGTATTATTTTACTGTCTGATTTCGCGTTAATCTAATGACTTCTCATCATGCGAGTTCCTTTCCGTTTCCTTTTTCTTTTATTCTTTCCTTTGCTTTGACTCCTAGAGCTTTCGCAAGACCAACTTTTTGGCACAAAACGCTACTACTTATTATATGCCTTTTTGTTTTCTTTCATGCTTAAAAGTCGTATTATTTATACCAGGTATTGTTTACGGAGTTTGCGACGAGACCTCTGCATGGCCATACAGAAAAGAACGGGAAACCTCTGAAGAACTCTATTTTGGCCTCAAGACTGGACAAGGTCTTCTAGAGTTCAAGTGTAAAAGCAAGATTCATAAGCAGAGATGGGTCGATGGGATTCAAAACCTTCTCCGTCAAGTCAGCTATGCCGAAGCAGCTGAGCTTTCTCTCGAATCTTTGAGTATCGGTGACAGTATATAGGATAGAGTATGGTTGTTGTGCATACATACTGATTTTGGTTTGTGATATATAGAATAGAAATCGTCTTCAATATGTGAGCTATGCAACAAGTTCTTCCAATGTTTGCTACCAAAGAGATGAGGTTGCAGAGGAAGAGGTCCCAATCTGAAGGGTGAATAAATGAGTTTTATACAGGCTTAAGAGATCTTTTATATATTCATGCTGACAAAAAGTACTAACAATAGCAATGATCACGACTGTAAAGAAAAAAGAAAATTGATAATCTCAAATGGGAGGTGAAAAATGAAAAAGAAGCATCCTTTTTTTCCTGGTTGTGGAGTGGGGGATGCTCTAGGAAAGATAAACGACAAGAATGAAATTGCCCAGTAGGAAGATTGGTTGTGCTAGATATACAACAAAAATGTAGCAAATCATTCCCATGCTATCACAATCATTGCACCCTGACTTAGAGCAATGATGCACCTAGGTAGTTTTCTTCCTTTTTTTAATCAAAAGAAACTCACCACGAAAAAATCTGCAATTACAATAATGTGGTCCCTTCTCAGAGCTCGATCGCCCAACCACTTGGTTAGCTCGACATTTGAGAGTGCAGACAAACTAGGCAAAGCTCTCTATATGAATAAGCCTCTATCAAGAGGTTAACTAGTCAAGTAAAAGAGGCTTCATACAAGGCAAAGTGATCAAGGAAAAAAGACAGACAACGGAAAGAGGAGGGAGGGGTGTGGCACGCGGGGATCAGAAGCATTTTGAACCTGAAAAATTTCCTGTTCTTCTTTGGACAAAGGCAATGGATCAAACACCGAGATTCCCATATTGACAAAAGCCCGCTATCTGCAGGATTTTGAAAGCTGGTACAAGGAATTAGAGATGCATGGAGTGAAATATTATTGCTAGACATTCCATATGACTAATTGAACGTTCATAACACCCCAACCTCCTCCTTTTACACTGCTTTATCTTCTAATTTGCCCTCTCAAAATACAACAGTCCTGTTCTCCTCGTATTGTAGAACTCGCAGTTCACAATATGATCTTATAGCCTTGGAAAGGCATTGCCTCTCAAGGTTCTCTGATTTTTGCACAAAACTCTGCAAATTGTCTCTGTGAGAAACTCTTTCAACCTGTCAAAAAGGGTACACAGAATTTGAGGGCTGATCATTAATTTTAAAAAACCACCACAAAAAAATGCAGCATCAAATAACATGAACGGAGCAGATGTCATTGGAGAATAGTTAAACAAACGTGGAGATTTATAGATGGTAAGCACCTATATTTAATTAAACTTGCATGTTGCAGCAACAATAGCCAAAGAAGTTGGCACTTAAAAGATCATTTATTTAAAAACTCTGTTTTCAGCATCCTCTGTCATAAGAACATTTCACAGATCACATAAAGTTGTTATCATTTCTGACAAATTTTATAATAACGTTGGCATCAATGTCATAATTAATTAGCTAAATAAATTTTAACAATTTATGAGGAATCACAACCATCAAAACAACCCTTCCACTAAGTCCAGAGAAGTTAACTCTATTCTCTGTATACCAGAATTTTTCAAGAATGATGACATCCATGGGTCAGACAATAAGAAATTGCATTGTCTGCTATTACTCAAAGATAAAAAATTGAGCTAAGTTAATTCAATCTGATTAAAATAGTGAAGTTAGAAACCTTGTAGAGGAGAATAATCACAATTAATTGTAATCAATCAAAGGAGATCTAAGCAGAGTTTTACAGGGTAAGCAATGACAGGATGACCCATTGTTCAGAGCAGCAGTAAACAAATAAAATATACCATCTGTTCAATAATAGGCCCTGAATCAAGTTCTTCAGTCACGAAGTGACTTGTTGCACCAATTAATTTAACACCCGCATCAAAAGCCTGCCAACATAATCTAGAAAATTTAACATGCATCTAGAGTTAGGGAGGAAGCATGAAATGGCTAATAATTTCAATTACTCATTAATAAACAAGAATACTCACCTGTTTACATGGATTCCCACCCTTAAATGATGGCAAAAGGCCATGGTGAATGTTAATTACATCTTTCCCATATGTCCTCAAAAAATGACCAGATAAAACCTGCAAAAATAAATAGTTATTCTCTAGCCTCCAAACATAGCACTAGTTGATTCAACCTCCAATATACCTAATGATGAATACTAGCGAGAACAGATACTACAAGCTTCTGCTAATTTTTAATATACATATACATTTGCTTGTGTCCTTTATGAAAGAAAAGGTTAATTTTATTCTTCTAGTTAATATTGTGGAATCCCAGACTAAAATGTTTTCCCTAAAATTGCTTTGCACTGAAACAAAATTATGACAAAAATCTTATAACCTGATTTACCTGCATATACCTGGCAAGTACTAAAAAATCAGTATTCAGAACCAACTCCAAGATCTCCCCTTCTCTTTTATTCTCTTTAGTTGTTTGCAAAGAATGATACGGAATATTGTTCGTTTCAAGAAAGCGCATCACATGAGTGTTTGGATCTCTATGATGATTGCTGCCATACAATTGATGAATCAGTATTTGGACATAAAATGCAAATAGGACTAAAAATAGTTTAGAAAAAAAAAAGTATAACAATAAAGGTCACACAGAGGGATGGCAGTTTGAACATTACCTTATCACACAAGTAATATCAACTGGAAGTCTTCTGTCCTGCCATCCATGTAGCAAATCTACCAGGCAATGGTCCTGGAGCAAGATAAATATGGTTTGATCATGGAAAACATTAAGAGAGAGAGAGAGAGAAGTAACAAGCCATACCTGTTTTGAAACAAGGACACCAATTTTAAACTTGGGGTCTAGATCAGGGACCCTGACAACAGATCTGGTAGCACTGTACATTCTTGATAGCTTCATGAAGTCTTCATCCATTTGCTCCCGAGGCCATTTGACAGGGTCAAAAACAAACTCACTGCAATTTTTCACACAATAAGATCCAGGTCTAATAATGGTTCATTCAATCAACTTGTTGCCACGAAGTACAGTCACCATTGAACATATCACTCTTTGTCCAGGCCAAACATCATTCTTGGACATTCACAAACACACGAGAAGCTCAAACCAAAATCAAACCTACTTCTAGGTGGTGTTGGTATTGATTAACAAGAAAGAAATTTAGAAAACAATTACACTATCTCTTCCTATAATTCTCTTTTAAACTAAAACTGATGTACTCAGCTTAGTTTCCTAGTTCAAACTTTGGCCAAAAGAACAACTATCCAAACACCAACAACACAATCGTCCAATAAGAACTAAATTCTTATTGCAACAATCACTTGCTCCATTGATCCAACATTGATTCTTTCCGAGCGTGTTTCCTCAGGACAAAGCACTAAGCTTTATTATTTTGGCACAAAGTGATGACTACCAAGACTCGAAATTTATCCCTTGCATTTATCAATTAAAGACATTTAGCATTGAATTAGAAAAATTTAGACCACTAAAAAATAACCTTACCTCCTGGAATAGAAGACATTCTTGTTTTGAGGAACAAAAACATCAGCTCCAAGTATGTTTCCTCCTTTTGAAGCTATACATTCTGATAGCTTTGCAACAATCCCAACTTCATCCTGTCACCCCAAAAAACAAACCATATTCACTTAAAGTTTAAAAATAATTAGACAAAATCATCATTTTTAATTAAAAAAAAGTTCTTTTTTTGTGAAGAAAATGGGCGAACCAATGAGAACTTCAGTGGTAATAGAATTCAGCAATGGAAATCTGGAAGTGGGTAACGGAGAGAGAGAGAGAGAGATGGCGGTGGGGAACTCACCGGGCAATGGAAGATGTGGATGCCATAAGTTAGAGAGGGAGAAGAAGAGGGATCTCCGGGCAATTTGTAAGATTTGAAGGACCTCTTTGCAAATCCAACAAATTGGGGCAAGCTTGAAGAGACTCGTCTCGTGAGACTCATTGCTTCAGAATCTCACTTCTTACTTACCCACCAAAACTTGGCTTGGCGCCTGGCGACCTCTTATTCTTGGCCGTTGAAGCTCGCAGATAGATGATAACACGACGGCGTTTAAGGAAAGCTTTAGAATCTCTGGGCCCTGTGGAGTAGGCGGAGTGAGATCTGATAGGCTGGGAGAGCCAGGGAGCAATCACAACCGTTTAACAGACATCTACTCCACCTACCAAATATGGTAAATTAACGGTTGCAGACTTGGGGGTTTCCTTTTTAAAGTGGACTTTATTGTAATATCATTATTTGAAATATTTTTTCTTTAATTTACATTCTTTTCTCAAAGAATTTAATTGAAGTAAATCATGTGTTTAAAATTATTATTTCGGTGTATATCTTACGTCAATTTTATTTTATCAAGTCAATTAAATATTTACTTCATTTCTATTCAAAATTTTGCCAAAAAAAAAAAAGAGCGAAAACGCAAATTCTGCATTAAAACAAAAAACAAATAGCACAAATGTTTGTGGCACTTTTGACCGCATATGACCTAAACCCTAACCTATGTTGGTTCCTCAGTTTTAGTCATCTAACAAGTGGCAAAACAGGAGCCATCGTCAATAACTAACCGGACCAATCTCACAGTAGAGAATCGGGAACCCCCGAGATCCAGATTTTGCAGACTAAACCCGACGTCTCGTCGTCTCTGTTAGTAAAGTTCCTTTCTTCGTCCAGAGGCCGAAATTTCTGTTTCTCGAACTACGGTTACACTCAAAAGAGAAAGCACTCTCAGAAAAGAAAAAGAAATGCCAGTAAGTATCCTTCTTCAACTTGATTCAGATCTCACGATTGTAATGATAAAATATTTGTTTGTGAATTGTGAGTATCAAAGTTGGTTGCTTGATGTTTGGTTATGATTGTGTGCGGTGCAGTTCAGGAGAATGATAGAGGTGGAACCACCGAGCCCGCTCAGATATATCATCGGAGCTGCAATCATGATGCTCGGAGTCGTATTGCCCGTCGGATACATGATGTTCCGTAACAAACGCGTCCCTTCCTCTTCCTCTTACTCCAAACAGACGTAGGTGTGCCTTTACTTAAATGTCCCAATTTACATTCCCTTCAAATAAAATTAGCTTTTTCCCCCTTAATCAATGGCATATGCAAAATCAGATCTGGAGTTGATTTTGATTTCCGTTCATAATCTTACAGTTAATTTTATAGATTTAACGGAATTTGGAATCAGAGAGAAATTTATCATTTGTTTCTACAAATATTCGTTATCTTATGACTTTGTTTGGATGGAAAAATGTTTTCTTGATTTGACAAACTAATATTAGTGTTTGGTGTTGGCATTCAGGAACAAAGTTTTGATATAGAGATTTTGGTGGAACAGAGAAATTTTTTTATGCGAAACTTATGGAGTTCTATATGAAGGAAGAATGCTTTGAATGACCTGCAGATACAAAAATGTAAATGAAATATAAACCCCTCAGTTCATCTTAGTAGCTGTTTGGATGTTAATTCAAGTTTATAGAAGATGAGGTGTGTTGTTTTGCTCAATTTATGGGTTTTCATACGGTTACCAAGTTAGGATCATAACTATTAATTCGATAATACTGGTTGGTCCAATAGTAATTTGAGTTTATGAAAGTATGTTCATTCATGTTTGTTTGACCTTTCATTGCCAGAACATTGCTCATTTTCTCCCCATGGTTTCATCCTGTCTTACCTATGGTGTGTGATGAAAATGGCATTCTGATCAAGTGTTTGCTGTCTGTTTCTCGGTGGAATGTGAAATGGCTTACATTGTTTTTGAGCTTTTGTTGATATGCCTAGGCTACTTGTATAAACTAGCAGCATGGTTTGCTAGTTGGATTTGTCTGCTTGGTTATTCAAACAAGAGCATATTTTTTGGTAGTGCATTTATTTACTTGATGCTTCTTTCCGATTCATTTTCTTGATGTTAAACTTAGTTTTTGATGGGATGCATTTTACAAGAGATTGTTTGAATGATTTAAGTGGCCCTTATTTGGGAGGATGTGTTCTTGTAAAGAATGAAAATTAGGCCTTATTTGGTAGGAAGGATTGCTAGCTTCATCAAAACTGAATTTTGTAGATTAACATGTGTGAAGAATGGAATGATAGATTATAGCATTGAAATTAGAAAGGCATGTATCACCATTTACAGTCATAGGATCCTTACACTGTTGATTCCAAGAATTATTTTCATCTGGAGCTGAACTTTGCCAATGGTTTCTATTTGTGAGTTCAGCGCCATGATTTCTCCTTGATAGCATAACAAATAATAAAGCACCACCAATGTTGGCATATTACATGCTTCGAACCAATCACACTACCAGTGCTGCTCTGATGACAACAATGGTATTCCATCTCCTAGTTCATGAAACTGATGCATTTCTGACACACTTCATGAATCATGCCATCTTCCCATTGCTTCTCCTACACGAATTCTGTCCCCGCGTTTAATAGAAAACCTGAACTCTGAAGCATTACTGTTCTTGGGTGATTTCAATGTGGGGGCTTGGAAAACAAGCACAACCGTTGATCCCATGTTGAAAGCAGCCACCTGGAACGATCAATGTGCATTGGAAAACGCAATCATAGTCTAATTAAGGTAAGCCAAAGTAAGCATAAAACAGAGTGTTCAGATTATCTAATTAAGATTCAAACTACTACTTAAAATGAAACTAATTTTAGGGAATATGCATCAGAAGATCAACAAACAATTCCCACAGTATGGCAGGCATCAGGTTTTGAAAGGAAATTTTTTGTGTCTCTAACCTCTTCTCCCTTTTTTAGCATCACACCAACCCCTTCAGGTTGATATACACATTCTTCTGGAGGCTCTGAGTGTAATAACTTTTTTCTTGGCCTGTTTGTCCGAAGTTCTGATTCTATGAAAAGCTGTCAACCGCAAATTTATGGAGTTAAAGCACAGAATTTTATTGAAGAAGATTTATATGCCAGTGCATGGACTTGTCCCTGTCTTAATAAGATTTTTTATCTGACTTTTCTTAAGGTTCATGGGTGAAAGGGGCATTGGCACTTAACCTCAATTGATCCAATATTTGTTGCACCAATTGCTGCTATTGCCATATATCCTTGTTGCCATAGACCTTCAAGAACAACCTGATGACATGAGAGTTGCAACAACAATTTAGTGAATTCCACTCAAAACGAATCTATAAGATACATATAATTAACAAAAAGTATTTAGGACTCAACTGAAATGAAACTCAGAAGCTTTTGGCTAACTTCTTTAGGCAACACTTTGAAGGTTTTAGATCATAGTTTTAGAACACTCCCATATGCAAGGCTAAATGGCTGCAATTAATCCTAAAAGGCTAAAACAACCTGAGAGGAAGTTAAGCTAAGCCCCAAAGTGTGCAATTTAAGTCCAAAATTACGTTTCTTAGTTCGTAACTGGTTAGGCTGCACCAAGTATGCTGACCTGTTACCTCTACCTACCTATTGATGGTTAAATACTAGGAAGAGGCAAAGGGAGAAGATCTGGGATTGGAAACAAAATGTTTTTCAAATACTTTGAGTTGATCAGAAAGTGAAGCCTGTTCCTGAGGCTCAAATTCACCAAGAATTACCTTTTATTTCTATGCATTAAAAAAAGAGCCTATAGAACTCCTAACAATTTAGGCTTCTATGCTATGATATACCTGGCCTTGTAACATTAACACTACTTGCAAGTTGCATTAATGTTCTGAATGGACCACTCTATCTTCATCTTTCAGATAACCTATCATTATATTATTTTATCCTCTTCCTAGTTACATCAAATGTTTTAATTCAACCATTTGCAATACATCAAGAATGAAAAATTAGACAAGAAAATTTGCAAATTCAACAGATAAGTCAAGGGAGATCAGATTTACCCTCTCATTCTCAACATAAAGATTCCTAATTGTTCTTGTAGCACGTTCATTCAAAGGAAAAAGGTGACCTGCCAGATAAGCAGCAAATGAAATCATATAACCATGTTATCGCTATAAGAAGAATTTTTTAATTGTTATGCAACTATACCTTCAAGTTACCTGCAAAATGCCGTCGAACAAGAACATTCCAATCAACTGGTGAGTGTATGCGATGATAGTCTCCTGGCTTCAGGTATATTACACAGTAATAGAGGCCTTTCATTGGACTGCAATTAAAGTTTCGTGTATAAACTACCTTAGCTCAAACTTTTTAGAGCAGTTAAATTATGTAAAAGACTCTCGTAGAAGTACAATAAAATATCTTGGATGGTCCAACAATCTAGGGAGTTTGAAGAATAAACACAGCTGCAAAACAATTGGAAAGCACAATTACAGAAAAATAATGAAAGATAAAGCTTACCATACCGATTCTGTCAACAATTTATGCTGAATCATTCAAATAAAGGTATGGAGAAATACATCTAAATAAAACCAAATCACTTGTGTAAAGAAACAACAAGGTAAATATTGCACAACCAAATATGTACACAAGATTACCATGCAGAAACAGTTTCCCGGACTTTAGGAGAAGCCAATGAAATTCGCCACCATGACTTCTTACTCTTTTCTCTCTGACTGCTTTCCTGCTCAATTTTACTGCTCTCATCTTGGGTATTGCCCTCGGCTATAATTGGAAGCAAAGAACTAGCACCAAGAAGAGATGAAACCGAGTAGGAAAATCCTTTGACTTGCTCAATCATAGCCCCTGCACCCTTCAACTCCCCAAATCTAAGAATAGTACCATCCACAGGACTAACCTATTATATAACATAACTCACTATTAGATATACTGCAGAGTGAAACAGAAAAGATTAACAGGTCCAAGATGTCCGTTACCAGTTACCAGACTATAAGGATCGGGGTCAATAGGCCTGCAACCTTCTCTCAAGGTGCGAACAAAGAAATCCCTTAAAGAAGCATATTCGTCGAGGGGCAGAGCTGCTTCTTCTAGGTCTGAAATGCAATCCAAGTTATAATTTATACTTCATATTTAGCTAAATGTTCATGTATTTTGTCAATTGAATTAAAAATAATAAAAATGACTGACTGCAGCAACCAGATAACAAATAGAAAATGAGGGCATAAAAAAAAAAAAAACTATTTGAGGTAAACATACTTGAATGGAACGCACGAGCCCATGCTCTATAAACATGTGGACGCAGCCAAACTGGAATTTCCTAAAAAAATGTTCTTTAAGCAGGTAAAGGCATATCAAAACAACACAACAAAGGGTCATAGATAATATCTTCTAAAATAAGAAACTTACTCACCAAATTTGTCAAGAAGCCCCACACTCTAGAAATAGATCGCAAAGGTAGCATTCTCAGAAATGTAGCCTAAAGTTGGAAAGGTTCAAAGAGATATATGTCAAATATTAGGCAGGAAAATCACCATATAGATATCTTAGCAATAAAAAAATGAAACCTTGAAAACAAAATCATTGGAGAAATTAGCATAGATATACTACTTTTACATCCGGTTGGAACTCAAATTCAACCCCTTTCTCCCGTGCTTCTTCAACCTACTACCAAGAAAACATATATCAATAAATAAGCAGAAAAAACTCCTACTAAGCATCATACTAATGCTGACATATAGGGTTTAAGAGCAAGCAATACACAAACAAACCATGAGGTTTCAGTTTGACAAATTGTATGGATTATGGAAAAATTTAAACCAGGACATATAGCCATGTGGAGGGCAGGAAGGAGTTCTATTTGTGTTAAACTCACATGGAAACGAATCCAATGAAGTTCAAATAGTTTCAGAACTACAAGGTCCTTTAAAAAAATTTCGAATTATATCAACACAACTTATCAATCATGATACACGAGTCACACAATCTACAAGGTAACCTATCATGGATGGATACACAAATGATTCCAACCACTTTTGTAACCAATACAAACTAAGAGTCAAAAATGAAGGGCATGTTATTAAGCCAATTTATACCTTCTTGTCATCGTAGAGCCGTCGAGCATGAAGAGCCCCAAGCATGAGTAGAGTAGCCACTGTTGCACCGGGCAACAGAAAAGCGCTACCTATAGACACAGAGCAATGAGCTTCGCATGCCTCCCAAGATGGTAAACATAACACTGCAAACTAACATAGTCTAATTTATAACGAATTCTCCACTCAAACTATTTTCTGAATAAATCAAAAAACATTATTTTGTTGTGTTTCTCTTTGGTTAGAGATAATATAATAGTAAGCTTTCCCTCTTTATTTTCTCGCCGATTTTCTCAGCAGCCAAACAAAAAAAACCCTTCCAAATTATAAAAACAAGTGAATGGTTTAACCTTGAGAACCGCTACTGCCGCCACTGACAGAAGCGCGCGCTTGCGACGTAGTTGGCAACTGCTTGGCGTACCAAGAGAAGAACCGGCGGTTGATGTAAACATGGCCGGCTTGTGAATAGGGAGGGAACATTGGAGCATTTTGGGAAAACCGAAATTTCATCGTTGCCTCAAGTTCGAGTAACAGAGATGCTTAGTCTCGTCACCCGTTAGGGTTTCCTGCCAGTTTCAGTGAACATTATGAACTCTGGAGAGCCCTAAAACGGTGCCGTTTCTCTTCGTTAAAGCGGGAAGTTTTGCGCTCTCTTCGTGTATTAACGTTTTTGGGTGATCGCTCAATTCTACCGAATTTCATATACTAGTATTTTCGTATTTACTTTTTTTAGTTAGATGCAATTTTGTATCTTGAAATTTTGAAATTGAATTTTTCGTCTATGTATATATAATTTATTGAACAAAATATTAGTATATTTCTATCAAATATTATATTTTAAATTATATTCAAATAAATGCATTATACATAAAAGAAAAAGATCATTGTTTGTCAAATTAAAAAAGCTTCATCCAAACTCGAGCTGCAAGCGTAGTCAAGCCACCTATAAATAACTATAGGCTTATGTACCAAATTCTTTTAATTCATTGGCTAAAGTTAAAGAATTAATTTCATGTTTTCATTTTTTAATTACTGAATTTCTGAAAGTTATCAACAAACTTATATACGTATATGATATTTTAATAAGTAAATAATCTTATTTACTTATGTTTTTTAATAAAAGTTTTTAAAAGAGTATGTCCGTGATTACTAAAAAATAAATGAAAGTTATCAAAAATAATAATGTATTTTGAAGGTATTGATTTTACAAATTAAATTTGCTAAAAAAATTATAACCCTATTTGATATTCAGTGCTTATATTTTTAATATTTTAATAATCCTTACTTAACAAATATTTATAAAGGTATTTAAACAAAGGTACGTTTAAGGGTATTAAATAATAGATAAAGGTTACAAAAAAAAACATTTTTAAGTTACTATTTTATGAATAAAGGTTATTTGAAAAAAATACTAAAAATTATATAATATATTATATAATATGATATTTTAATAATCACATATCTACTACTTTGATAATTCTAAGTTATTAAATACTTCTGGAAGTTTTTGACAAAGTTCATTCAATGTTATTAAGTAATAGATGGAGATTGAGGTTATTAATTTGGATGATTAAGTGCTGAAAAATTATAAAATTATATGATAGTTTAATAACTATATTATTGAATATCCACATAAATTACAGACAAAATACATTTGGTGTTAGTAAAAATAGATGAAATTACAGGCCATCATGTATAAATGACCAATTTTGTGATGGAGATCAGTGAAAAAGTTATAAACTATATAAGATTTCTATAATCTTAACCACTAAAAGATTATTAACAAGTACAGATAAAAGTTTCTTACTAATATATGGAAGATTATAAAAAGTAATTATGTATTTTGAAATTATTAATTTTATTAATTAAAGTCATTAGAAAAGATGTATGTCATTGGATATTTAGTATTTTGGTACACCTAGTTACTGAATTTTCATATAAATTTACTAGCAGAAAGAAAAATGAGAAAAGGTTAATTAAACTTATTTTACATATTTCTCTATCTTTTCCTTTTTACTTTTTGTCATGGAAAAAAAATTATCTTAAAATATGATTTATCTCTTTACTAGGAGGCTAAACTCCTCCTCATGCAGGTACGGCTGGTCTATACCCTACACGATTCAGTCCGGCCCACTAAACAGCAAGAAACCTCGTGCTATCACGTGCATCAAAGCAACGTCGTCGTTTCATTTGCTACTACAGTCGAACTCAACGAACGCTAACCGCCAAGCAACAAAGCGTAGCAATTTCACCAGAAACAGAAAGTAAAAAAATCGTCATACTTCTCAACTGAAGTCTTGAGAGTAAAGATCCCCAAAGTTGAGTTCAACTCTCCCAGGCATGGAAATTACTGAAACAGTGAAGTATGGAATCATAGGAGTAGGAATGATGGGGAGAGAACATCTAATTAATCTCCACCATCTTAGAATCCAAGGTGTGGCCGTTGTTTGCATAGCTGACCCTCACGTCCACTCTCAAGAACTTGCCCTGGAACTGGCTCAATCCTTTGATTGGCCACTTAAGGTATGGATTTCGTCCAAGCGGTAATTATTGAATTTCCAATTAGCTGAAAGGAATTAGTAAGACTTTGATATGAAAGGGTTGTGACTTGGGATGTTTATACTTTATCCTACAAAGGTTTTCTCAGGGCACCAGGAGCTACTGGACAGTGGGCTATGTGATGTGGTGGTTGTGTCAAGCCCCAATATGACGCATTATCAGATCCTGATGGATATTTTGAACCATCCTAAAGCTCATCATGTGTTAGTTGAGAAGCCATTGTGTACTACAGTTGCTGACTGCAGAAAGGTCAGTCTTTGGTTCTAATAAGTTTTATTTACAGCTTGTATTTGTATGTGAGAGGTGAAGATTTTTCAAATTGATATGGGTTTGTTTCTATAAACAACAAATCAAAAGAAATGCTTGCATGTCGTTGGTTGATGCAGCATTCATCGGATTTTTGTACAAGCCCCACCAGCCTTGCCACTAGACAACTGCTACCTAATTGAAGAGTAATTTGAATGATTACGCAACACCCAGCTCTAGTTTCTAAAATATTAAACATGGCATTGAGCAAGTAAAGGAGGAAACGCTTTCATAATTGTAAAGACCGAATGTCTGGTTAGGTAGCAATTTGAATGGTAAATTTTGTTTGAAATCGTCCTTCTATAGAAGATAAACATCAAGGAAATATACTGAGTGTTGGAAAGGACGAAAAGAAAAGGGAGTCCTGTTTGAATCTGTACAAAAGTTTATTTGTTTCCTGGATTAAGCTTTTTCACTATTGTGAGCATTATGTAATTAGTTGTAGAAGTGCCTTTTGTTATTGTCTCAATAACCTGTGGTACTGTCCTGATATCTTAATTATCTACTTCTTAATCTGACTGTGTATAGCAGTTTTTACACATGTTGATTCATTGCTATCTTCTTCCTCAGTTAATTAACTGATCTGGTAAATGTAGTTTATCTTGAAATTAGGTTGTAAATGCTGCTAGAAAGAGGCCAGATATGCTGGTACAAGTTGGATTGGAGTATAGATATATGCCCCCAGTTGCTAAGTTGATTGAGATAGTCAAGGGTGGAACTCTTGGACATGTCAAGATGGTGGCAATTCGGGAACATCGGTTCCCTTTTCTGGTTAAGGTAGAGTTAGCTACTCAACTTCCCCTTGCCCGCCTTGTCGGCATATAGGTTATTGACTTTGTGCATGTGATAGGTTAACAATTGGAACCGGTTCAATGCTAACACGGGGGGAACACTGGTGGAGAAGTGCTGCCACTTCTTTGATTTGATGAGGTTGTTTGCTGGTGCAAACCCTGTTCGTGTGATGGCTTCTGGTGCCATGGATGTTAATCACAAAGATGAAATATATGATGGAAAGGTCATAGTAGGAGAAATTTTTGCATGATATAGACTTGATATCATTCTGATCCCCTTTCCCTAATTTCATTTTCTTTTTTGTTGTCCAGGTACCTGACATCATTGACAATGCATATGTTATTGTTGAATTTGACAATGGTGCTCGAGGGATGCTCGACCTCTGCATGTTTGCTGAAGGGAGTAAAAATGAGCAAGAGATATCTGTTGTTGGTCACTCTGGAAAGGTCTCTCTCTGTCACACAAGTGTGTGTGTTTCATTCCTTTGTAACAGTGTTAACTTTTAAATGCATTCAGTTCAATGATCGCAACAGAGATTCTTGTACGTCCATTATTTGCAACAGTTGATGTTACCTTGCATGCATCTTGATTCGTGTTTTCTCTCTAATTCTGATTCAAACTATGATGCTGTAACAGGGTGAAGCCTTTGTTCCTGAAAATATTGTGCTTTATGGCTCTAGAGCGGATGGTAGAGACGGGGTCCAGACCCTGAAAGCTGAGGATGAACGAATAAAGTTGGTCGCTCTCTCTTCTTCCTTCTTTAATTTCATTAAAATGCTATTTCTGATTCTCCAGTATGATCATAGTTACAGATAAAAATGCTTCTTGTTTATTGCCAGCCTCTCAATTCGGTCAAAAACTGCCTTGTTTTCCAGGTACGAAGGACTGCATCACGGTTCTAGCTATCTGGAACACCTTAACTTTTTGTCTGCAATTAGAGAAAAAGGTACAAAGACTCCAGCTGTGGATTTGCAAGATGGGTTAATTTCAGTTGCTGTGGGGGTTGCAGCACAAGTTTCCATCGAGAAGGGCCGGTTTGTTACCATTGAGGAAGTCTTGGGTGAACGTAACTGTGTACCTTCTACATAAATCTTTCATTTAGGTCCGGAAGTCACTGTTCAGAAGCCAAAATCACCATTCTTGTTATTTACTTTCAACTCTGGTCTCTGTAATATTACATTTACAAACAATAAAAATGCTTTCTGGTTTAATAGGTTAAGTTCCAAATGAATGTGTGAATTTATCTTTTTTAATTTTTTGTTCAGATAATTAAACAATTTTTTTAATTTTGATTTCGAGAAAATAGGAGTAGTCAGCCACGCGGTGATCGGCTTCAGTTATAAGCCATCTTAATCTTATTTAAATCAGATTCCAGTCCGTTAGGGGTGCGTATGTTAACAAGAGTACGCACCATGCTCAACGTACTGAGGGCCGGACCTTATTTAAATACGACACGATTTCAGTGCCAATTTTCATTTTTTGCGCGTCTACATTTTGTTGCTTAATCGAAATGGAAGACGACGGAGGAGAGAGGTCAAGCTTCGTGATCGGTCTCATCGAGAATAGAGCTAAAGAGGTACCTCTGTTTGGTTTCTCAGAAAATGCACGTAAACTGAAGAATGTTTGAGCTTTTACTGTTATGTTTTCTTTTCCATTACTCGCACAGAGAGCTCTCAAATTTTTTTTCATTGAAATAAGCTGATTTCACTGTCTTAGCTTGGCGAATTCGAGTTTCCACTTGGAATTTGAAAATGAAAAATAAAATCAACTTGAGAATTCTCTTTATTCTGTTTTCCTTTAGTTTTCTAATCCACCAAACAGTTGTCTCGACTCTCGAGCTTCATCTTAATATTTTTTTATTCTTTTAAATTGTCATGCCTGATTTAAAATTTCACGTAAGAATGGACGACTAGGTTTTATAAAACTACAATAAGATAGTACTACTAAGTTAGAGATTGATTAGTTGAAGATAAAGTTTTTCCTATAGATAACGGCACCCTTAATCGAACGGAACGAAAAACAGAATAATTAGCACAATGTGAATGAAATTTTACGACAGAACTTTGCATTGAATCCAATACAAGAATTTGATTTGATAATGAACTCTGCAAAGTAAGATGATTATATAGCAGTGAAATTCACAATGCCTTACTAACCGCAATCACTGTACCATACAGGTTGGAGTGGCTGCCTTTGACTTAAGATCAGCTTCTTTGCATCTTTCTCAATACATTGAAACCAGTAGCTCATATCAGAATACAAAAACTTTGCTTCATTTCTATGATCCCATGGTGATCATTGTTCCTCCAAACAAACTGGCTCCTGAAGGTATGGTGGGAGTATCAGAACTGGTAGATCGGTTTTATGCTTCAGTCAAGAAGGTGATGTGACTGGACAATTAGAAATGTCCTGGTGTGGTTGTGCCTAGTGGAAAATTTGCCTGTTCGATGATCTAATGCCATGTGTTGTTTTCTGCAGATTGTCATGGCTCGTGGTTGCTTTGATGACACCAAGGTCACATAGATACATCTCACTCTTCATTTGCATGTTACATTATGGGTCTGACATTGTGTATCTTTTGTTGGAATGTCACTGTGGTTAAAAATTCAGGGTGCAATGCTGATTAAAAATTTAGCTGCCAGAGAGCCTTCAGCTCTTGGTTTGGATAGTTACTACAAACAGTATTATCTTTGCTTGGCTTCTGCTTCTGCTACAATCAAGTGGTACTTTCAGAAACTTAAGCTATTTTATGTTGGTATGGCAGCATGTTTAAGAGTGTTCCATTTGATGTTCATGGATGATGTCTAGTTCATTGCAAAACATCAAAACATCTAAGTGAGGAACACAAAAAAAAGCTGAGATTAGAGGTCATCCCTTATTGGGTAATTTCCCCAAGACAAAAGCAACTACCAGCATTAGTCATTATAGTACAACATCTTCATCTTGGCCCAACAACTGACGAAGGTTAGCATTAATTAGACTGTATCCTAAGGTGCTTTAAGGTCATTATGTTCATTGCATGCTGAAAATAAATGATATGGAGATCCTATCATTTCCTGGATCCAGAACAATTGGAGCTATTTTTGCATGTAATTGCCCTTTTATCCAGCTCACTATCTGTTGTGAATTGTCTTAGGCAGCTCTTCCACAGGGAAAAGTTCAAGTCGACGGAATTTTAGATTTACTTGAAAATGGTATAATTCTTTGGAGTCAAGGGTTGCATAAAACTGTGTTAAAAGGGAAAACTTTGACTGACAGCTGTAAACCAAATATAATTACATGTTTGAATCTCTATGTACTTTCTCAAAATATTGTTCAGTCATATAATAGTTCTTGTAACTACATTATGTGTTCCATTCTTCATGGAACTGTATCATCTGTTTTCATCTTTGAAGTCTCCTTTTAATTTGATCAATTTTAGTGATCTGAGGTTTGCTTCAAGTTTCTGATTTCAAGGTGCTTCTCATTAGTTTTGATTTACTTTTGTTGGTTGATTTATACTTCTGAAGCACAAGTTCATTTTGTGCCATTCCTCAGGATAGAAGCAGAGAAAGGTGTTATTGTCACAAACCATTCCCTATCGGTATGTGCTTCATAGCTAATCCCATTGGAATGCTTGGGACAAAACTAAGTGGTTGTTCTGTTTGAAGTTTATTGTACCTCTGAAGTTAATTCAATCTCTAAAAATATATGTGTGACATCTTGAGGCAAAGTAAGAGTTGTTATGATCAGTTCATCCTCCTTTTTCTTTGTGAAGAATTACAATCTTTGCCCTTTTTCTTTCTTGGAACTTTCTTTACTGCAGGTTACTTTTAATGGATCATTTGACCACATGAACATTGATGCTACTAGGTATTGTTACTTTCTGCTTCAGTTGCACCTATAAATTGGACCAGTTTCTGGTAACATATTTACTACTACAGCATATTCTAGACCTTTACAAATCTTGATATTTACTGGTTTTTCTTTGTTAAAATGCAATATGTTTGATTGTGGATGGCAGTGTCCAAAACTTAGAAATTATTGAACCTTTTCATTCTGCACTTTGGGGCACAAGCAACAAGAAAAGAAGTCTATTCCACATGCTTAAGACAACAAAAACTGTTGGAGGGTATGTTGAGAATCAGATAAGTTGGCTTATGTGACATGTCATCTCATGAACTGCTTCCTAACTTCTCTCCCAAGTCATCACGTCTTCCATTTATTTTTAAGCTGTCAATGCATTGGTTCACCACTTCAAAAGTTCCCTCTTGGAGTATATAAGACATTTAAGTGAGCACAGAAAACCATTTTGAGTAGTACCTAATCTTTTTACTTTTATATGCCAAAAATGTGGAACTTCTTCTCCAGGACTAGACTTCTTCGTGCCAATCTTTTGCAGCCTTTAAAAGATATTGAAACTATCAATACGCGTCTGGATTGCCTGGTTAGTCTTGCTTTCGCCTTCCATCAGATTTCTCCTGCGGAGCTATGTTAAATTTTGATCCACTCTAGAAGATGCTTCTAACTTCCATAGACTTCTCCAACTTCCCCGAGAGATCTTATGGATCTTAATATGAGTGTCCCATGTAGCCTGGCATTCTTTTTGCAGCATCTTGGCTTCAACTGAAAACTTTATCAAGTAGTAGTAAATACCAGGCAATGCCAAAAGCACTTCTGTTGTTTGGGTTGGTTATTTTTGTTCTGCACACATAAACATGTACATTTGAGTGCTGACATAAATGTAGATATTATAAATTGTGTTTTCGGTAAAGTAAGTTAAGTCACCACAACCTTACACATCAACCACTTGGTGGTGGTGAAAAAATCCCTTTTAAACCATTCAGGTGCCATTATGTTTTAAGGATACCACGAGTGAACCAAGTAACTTAAACAAAGAGCTGTATTCTATTGTTCATGTTTACTACCCCTATTGTTTTAGTGTGACACTCGTTCTGATGCTCCAAAATATACACATTGTAATGCCTAGGGCTTTGTCTGACAGGTTGTCTCTGCGCTTAATTGAGTAAATTTCCAAACCTAGATCATTTTTTCATTTCAATTTTGTAGATAAGAGACTCATTCTCAATTACTTCTTAAGATTTAGTCTTACCCTAATAGTTAAATTCATTAAGGAACAACTATTTTGGAGCAAAAGATGATCTCTTCTGCACTTGATTTCAGGATGAGTTGATGAGCGATGAACAGCTATTCTTTGGACTGTCTCAGGTCTTGCGAAAGTTCCCAAAGGAGACTGGTAAGCTAAATTCTGATGAAAAGGAGCAATTACCCAAGAAGAAGAAAATAGATTAGACAGCCTTGTGGAAAGTTGTAGATTTATGACTACTATCTAAACCTGACCTTTTCATTCACTTCATGCAGATAGGGTACTTTGTCATTTCTGCTTCAAGCCAAAGAAAGTAACAAATGAAGTCTTGGTCGTGGAAAACGCTAGAAAGAGCCAAATGTTGATATCAAGCATCATTCTTCTCAAAACTGCATTAGATGCCTTGCCATTACTGTCAAAGGTAAAGTTCTTTTCTTCCTTTCATTGTTGGACTCCTACTGGAACTTATTTTGATATACTGGTGGTTTTTTTATTTTTTATAATTAGGTGCTTAAGGATGCAAAAAGTTTTCTTCTTGCGAATGTTTACAAGTCTATATGTGAAATCGAGAAATATGCTGACATTAGAAAGAGGTATGAGACACATTTCCCTAAACTAACAACTTACAAATCTTTCTCTTTGCATGGCTCTCCTTGATAGTGTTGACCATGCATCTGTTTTCCTCTGTGTTCTCAAGATACTAATTAGCCAAAAGAAGAATGGCAAGAATATTCACATTTAACGAAAAGGCAATGTGAGATTGGTGTCGAGCAGCAACATATAGGTTGTGGATGGCCAAAAACTTAAGAACTTAATATTTTGATGGCATTCTATTCACAAATTGCAGTTTTCCCTTCTTGAGAATGTTTGGTAGTTTCTTGTCATATGGTATACATGTTTTAGTTTATTGAGTAGTGTTTTGCTGAGCATGTTTCTCATTGATATTGGGTAAAGATCATCTTCAAAGGTTAAATGAACTATATAAGCACAGAGTTAAACAACTAATTTCTGGAATATACTTTCTTCTGTTAGAATTGGAGTGGTGATTGATGAAGACGTGCTTCACGCACGGGTTCCTTTTGTCGCCCGCACACAGCAGTGTTTTGCTGTCAAGGCTGGAATTGATGGGCTGCTGGATATAGCTCGGAGATCCTTTTGTGATACCAGTGAAGGTTGCCCCCTCCTCTTCTCCAAATCTATTGTTGTGGCTCTCCTTTATTTTGGTCATTTTAAGATGGGTTATTTGTCTACCTAAAAACTATTTAATATTGGATTGACAGCTATACATAACCTTGCAAACAAGTACCGGGAAGAATACAAGATGCCGAATCTGAAACTCCCATTTAACAGTAGACAAGGTTTTTACTTTAGCATTCCACAGAAAGACATTCAGGGACAGCTTCCCAGCAAGTTCATTCAGGTTGGCATAAGAACTTTTCTCTGTTACTTCATGTACTGCTCTGTATATGAAAATTTCCTTGGATCATCTCTGACTCCAGTATGCTTGTGATGGGAAAATCAGGTTGTGAAACATGGGAATAATGTACATTGCTCAACTTTGGAACTTGCTTCTGTAAGTATTGTTTAACGATGCTGTAGTTGTGGTTTGATGTTGGTTCATGGTATGATATTGAACTTGCTCATTTATCATTAGAGGAGGTAATGCTTTAAAAGATTTTTTATATGCAAATAATTTTAACCGAGAGTTTTCTTCGTATTGTTTCTGGAGTAAACTCAGATCTATATCTGCCGTTTGATTGGCTGAATGACCATTGAGTCAGGTTAAATAATTTTTTGCTGACCTTGGGTAGTTTGAGTGTTGCACAACTACTATGGTACTAGAGAGGAGGTACATGGGGGTGCTGTAAATGTATTAGCATTTGGCATGTATCATATTATAGACTTCCTATCTTTTCCCTAGGATAGTGAATAAAGCAATCACATTGTTAAGCATGATAAGGCAGGTGCGAGTTATATTAGAAAATTAAAACAATTAGTTAATATGATAAGTAATCAAGTGATATTGTCACATATTTACCTACAGTACAGTGCAGCGCTGCATGTTGTTAAAGTTATTTTTTGTGGTAGTATAAGTATTCAATATGATGGTTGATGTGGTATATGGTGTTTAGTATGCATAAATTCATTCAAACATTATTTTATGGGTTGATTGATTAGTCTATTAATAAACCAGGGTACTGTTTGATTTTGTATGCTATGCAGCCATATATATATTTGTTTGTGAATATCAGCATGCTACTATGTTTGTAATAGTCGTACATTCATCAGCCTGTCTAGTCTTTAAAATGCTTCGAGCTATCTATCTAAATTGCATAATTTGCAGCTGAATGTCAGAAATAAATCTGCAGCTGGAGAGTGTTATATACGAACAGAAGTTTGCTTGGAAGGTTTGTGATTGACTGCTTAGTTTCAAGAACTCTGACAAGTTTTACTTGTCTTTTTGTCTCTGAAAGGAGTTTTCATGTAATTCACAGAACACTATTGATCTCATGAAGCTTGGTTTTCTTGATGTTAAGTAAAAATATTTTAAAATTTCATGAATCTCTTACTCAATGGATTTACCTTAAGTGAATTAAACTATCAGTATTGAGTTGCAGAAAAAGGTGCCTTACTATTGTAATGGTTACTGAGGGATCACAGTGCGGATTGAGCATGCAGTCAAATCTTCGAAAAGCATTGTCAATTTTGCCAGGATAGAGTCTTTGCCATGATAGAGTCTTTCTTCTTATTTCTTGGGCTATCCAAGACTATGCTGCAAAGCTTAAGCTGCTCACATAACTTCTTCACAAATGTGGACATTTCAGTGTCATGTCTGCCAATTGATATGACACTGCAAATCTTGTCAGAAATAAGTGCCATTGCAATTAATTATATGAATTATATAGATTTCATTTAACCTGTAGCCATTATTGTTTTATTGATAAAGCTTTTGACAAAATATCTGAATATATATATATATATATATATATATATATGTAAAATATCTTTTTGAAGCTTGTTTCACATATGGTACCTTTCCCCTATGTTTTCTGATGTTGCAATGGTTTCATTCATGACTTATGTTAACTTTATGTGATTTGTAGCCCTAGTTGATGCTATAAGGGAGGACATCTCTGTGCTCACACTGCTTGCTGAAGTGCTGTGCCTATTAGATATGATTGTTAATTCATTTGCTCATACAATATCAACCAAGCCTGTTGACCGATATATTAGGCCAGAATTTACTGGTAATTTATTTCCCAACTTTTAGTATGTATTCTTATCATCTTCCAGGTTTGATCAGGAAATTATTAATGGTGACTAATTCTCACAGATGATGGCCCTCTGGCAATTGATGCTGGTAGACACCCCATCCTAGAAAGCATACACAGTGATTTTGTGGTATATTATTTTATTTAGTAATTAACAGTACTTTTACTGCTTATCTCAGATTTTTTCTTGGGGAAACTCAGATAATTACACTGCTATCATTAGATAAATGACAGTCATGGATTCTTCTTAATGTTCTTAGGTGCCCCTAAGATTTTAAAATGTTGTTTTGGTGGCAGCCCAACAACATCTTTATTTCAGAAGCATCAAACATGGTTATTGCAATGGGGCCAAACATGTAAGGAACTCTTTCATGGAAACTGCTCCTTGCTAGGACTTGTAAGTCATTGTATGTACGGTTTTCCGTTTCAATTATAGCCTTACTATCTGCAACATAGAAAATGTAATCTGATGAAACCTGTACTAAATAACAAGTTAGTCGTCTTTTTAACTTCAAGTGATGCCTTGGAGACCAGAATTTTTTGCGTTGCCTTAGACTTGTTTTATTAGCCTTAATCATCACGTTTAGACCAAGTCTCATGATTCTGGTCGAGGGTAAGTCTTAATTTCACTTCTCTTTAGCTGTAGGTTGAAGTGGCTGCCTCTGGCAATTGACCATCATGACATTGTTTTTTCTCCTTGACAGAGTGCCTTTGCCTGGATATGATCAATACCAACTTCTGATTGTTATATGTAAAAACCATAGCAATTTAGGTGATATCCTGCCTTAGTCTAAACTATCTATTTCTCCAACCAGGAGCGGGAAGAGCACTTATCTTCAACAAGTGTGTCTCATAGTTATTCTTGCTCAGATTGGTTGCTATGTTCCTGCCCGCTTTGCAACAATTAGAGTAGTTGATCGTATATTTACAAGGATGGGCACAATGGATAATCTTGAATCAAACTCTAGTACGGTAAAATATCTGATATTTTCATTTCACCCCTTTGTCACTACTCCTGATGAAAAGAAAAGAAAAAAAGATTGTCTTCTCGATGCAGTGATTCTTTCAATATATGTTTATGCTATCAGCTTTAACTATCAAATAGACGCTGGACATCAGTTTTCACTTTAAAAGTTACTCAACATATTGCTAAATTTGAACTATATTTATTTTTAGTATCTAAACATGCAGAGAATGGTTTTCATCCTTCTTGTATGTACGCCATAGTTATTATCATAATTCAGCAAATTGCTTTCTTGAAGTTTCTGGTATATAGATAACTGCCAGGAGTGAGATTTTCCAAGAAATTAAATTGTTTCTGGCTCTCCTAATTATACTTTTATAAATTGGCTGGGGTATGCAAACTATCATTCAGGCTCAAAAAAATAGAGAGTTTCCATGCCGAGGCTGGAAACATCCAGTGAAGAGTGGAGGCAAATGAAAATGGTTTAAAATGCAATAAGTTTAGACATTTGCCCGATGATGCTATAAGATGGAGTCACATATGGTCTAATTTAGATTTTCCTATAAATGGATCGCTGGAGCAAAGCACCATCTCATCTGGTTGGTTGGATATTACAGTTTATGACAGAGATGAAAGAGACTGCTTTTGTCATGCAGAATGTCTCCCAAAGGTGAGAAACTGTTTGAAGTGCTTGACATCTTGGGATATGCAACAGTAATGAATATTAATTGACTTATTTGATATAGGAGTCTAATTGTTATGGATGAACTTGGGAGGGCTACTTCGTCCTCTGATGGATTGGCAATAGCATGGAGCTGCTGTGAGCATCTGCTATCACTCACTGCGTAACTGCTATCCTAACCTATTTCCATTCTTCCAGTAACTATAGCAAAGGATTCAAAAAAAATAAAAAAAAAGGGTGTTGAACACAGATGATAAAACTTGCACAAACTAACGGCTTTTCTTGCATTATCTTCTTTAGGTATACTATATTTGCTACTCATATGGAGAACTTGTCAGAATTAGCTACCATCTATCCAAATGTGAAAATTCTTCACTTCGATGTTGATATTAGAAACGGCCGCCTAGATTTTAAGGTGATATTCCATATTCTTCTGCTCTAATCGAAAGTTTGCTGCCCTTTCTGACTGAAATTCTGATTTTACCCAGTTTCAACTCAGGATGGCCAAGACATGTAGCACCACTATGGCCTTCTACTAGCAGAAGTGGCGGATTACCAAGTTCGGTGATTGAAACAGCCAGAAGCATAACATCAAGGATTACAGACAAGGTAATTACGGTCAAGTAGATAGAAAGATGGTTTGAAATTTATGCAGATTTTGAGTTCACTTTTATTTCTGCTCCATCACGCTTAAGTGATGACATATGGTCCTACTGTCATGTCATATTTGTTTTACGACTAATACTCGATTTGGTTCCAATCGCCTGCTGCATGAGTGAAACACTGCTACTTCAAGAACAATATCACCACATCAATTCCACAGTTCATTGCAGTTATATATGTGAAATTTATACGATGTAGCTTTTACGTAATTCTTGATTGCTATGTTTTTTTTTTTTTTGGAATCTTATCTTGATCTCTATGGCATGTAAAGAATGCCCTCTTTCTTGAACAATGCTAATTGAGCATTCTCCTAATGTTTACTGTCCAGGAAGTGAGGCGAATGGATGTAAACTGCCTGCACTATAATCAAATACAGTTGGCATATCATGTTTCTCAACGACTGATATGCTTAAAGTACTCCAACCAAAACGAGGACTCCATCCGGCAGGCATTGCAAAGTCTCAAAGAGGAGCTACATTGATGGTAGGCTCTAAGCCGCTCTCTTGTTCCATAGATTACTCATAAAATTGTAATCCATAGTATGCCCTTTAATGTGAGCTCAACAGTGTTCACTTTTCAGGGCCTATCATGGTAAAGCTTTGCAATAGTTTAATGAGTCTATTGTGCAATGTTGGAAAAATCATTTTGTGCACGTGCAATAAATCCTATTAATGCGCCATCAGAAGTCAGTTTTGTTGAAAGAAATACGCGCAACATAGATGTTAAAACACAACGATTGAAAAATGCGGTTTTGATGGAAAATCAGACCAAATTACCAACTATGCAACCATATCTGAAATCAAAATGGGGAAATTGACAGAGTTATTATGATAATCCCATAACATATAAATTTAGAAATTCACATCTCAAGCAAAAATAAATTCCATGCAAACTTAAAGACTCCATTTTTGAAACTTAAAATATATTAAACTTCCAAAAATTTGAACCTCCAAAATTTCAAACAGAAAATTATGACTCATAAAATCAACAAGGGAGGCAATAATAAGCCTAAGCAAACCACTAAACTCAACGGTAGCGACGAAGGGAGAGAGTGTTGTTCCTCTTCCAGGTTGCCCTGCGAGAAGGCCGATTCTTGTGGTACAAGTGACCCTTCCCGTGTAGACCCCTGTTTTTCTTACCAGCAGATGTGAGCCCTCGAAGCTCCCTGTGCTTGTGGACAGGATTGCAGATCCAGTTAATCCTTGGATCATTGCGGATAGCATTGTGTGCAACATCAACCAGGATAACCTCAAAGTACTTGTAAGTAGAATCCTACAGAACAAAATGCAACATAAATGAGTGTTAATTAAGGAATCAGGACAACCAAATACACACTAAGGTGGCAAACCAGAACTTTTTGCAAGTCATACAAACCTCATTGATCCAGTATGAATTAACAACCCTGAGACCTCCCAATTTTCGACCGGCACGCTCCTCTGCAACAGATCGCTTGCTGCGCTGGAACTTCAATTGGGTAACACCCTGGTTTGTGGGCTTCCCATAGACAATACCCTTGGGAACTGGCCTCTTCCGACCACCCCTCCTAACACGGACACGATAAACCACAAAACCCTGGATATGGAGTGCACAGTTTGTCAGATGGAAATATTTGAAAACAAAGTACATGCATATATACATGATTTAATTTGGAAAACGAATGAGTAAATTATGGATTGATAAAATTATGCAGTCTGAAAATCCCACATTATATACTTTTTAATTTAGAATAAAAAACACCAAAGCCACAAAACACATGCATATAGACAAATAAGTACATATTGACTGAGACAATAAAAGCCACTTGCAAATGATTAACTGCTTGATTAATCAAATTTGTCTCCAGAAGCATCCCTTTATTAAATTCTGGACACTACTAGACCTACGCAAATCAAGTGTTAAAGCTAACGTTCTTGCTGTGTTTTTTCAGAATGAAAAGGAAAATGAATATTAACTAACACAAGCTTTCACAAATTGTTGAAATAGACATTACCTGCTTGGCCTTGTAACCCAGGCGGCGTGCTTTGTCAGGACGCGTAGGGTGGTTGACCCTAACGATTGATGGATGCTGGCGGTATTCCCAGCACCTCACCCTCTGCAAAAACCTCATTACATCGGACTGCTTCTTCCTCCATAGCTCCGAAACGTACTTGTAAGCCCCTACATTCATTCATCCCCATCAATAAAACCCCGGCATAATTCAAAGCAACGGTTCAGCAAGACAAAGACTTTTTTACATCATGAACAAATCACTTTCCGCTGCAATGGTCCCAATTTTTAAGCCATAAAAACCTATCCATTTTCTAATTGACAAGGAAAAAAGATTAAACCCACCTCACCAGAAAAAAAAAAAGCATTTCAGCCACTTTCAAAACGGAAAGCTGACTACTTTGTTCCACAGCATAAACCAGAGATAATTACCATGAAAAAAAAAAAAGAAAAGAAAATCTCAAATGATTCTACTTATTTCAAAACCATAAGCAAATAAGAACTAGGATCGACCCCTAAGTAGAAATGTTACAAGACTTAAGTGAAACCCAGAAGAAAAATACTAGCAGAGAGAAAGAAAGAAACGATCTGTAGCTGAAATCAGCAAAGACACAGAAAGTGAGTTTGAAGAGAGAGTACCCATTAGCGAGCTGCGCAGAGAGTGGCTAGGGTTTTCGTTTACAGAAGGAGCGAGCTGAGGCCAGGGTCTGCGGGTAAAATAACATTTTATAGTGGGCAAGCCTGATTGGACACTCCAAATTGGGCCGTCCATTTTCTTTGCTATGATTAAGAGTCCGAGAGACTAAATCATCACTTAGCCCAATAAGTAGATATAGGGCTGGTTTAGAACATCCAATTGGGCCCACGCGAGCGCTTATGTTATGTTTTGGGCCGAGTTAGTGTATATGTTCTAAAGCAATTCTTGCTGTTTTTATCACAAAGTTTCCTCTAATCAATCAGGATAATTTTTTTTAAAAAAAATTTACTTAAATTTGAAAAAAATTTACTTAAATGATGGATTTGAATAGTCATTAACTAGATAACTATGAAATCGGGGGTGATTCGTATTCATTTCTTATTTATTTCATCTTTAAATTCAAATTAAATCATCATTTTAGGTCAAACTATATTAAACCCTATTGAGTTTGACCTCTCTAGTAATGAAAAAATTTAAGGTCCAAAAAAGATGTGGTTGTAAAATATGGTGCTTAATTTTACAGTGTGGGGGAATTTTGGAATCAAACTTGATCAGTCATCAGTGGGATGCCGTAAAAGTTTGGCCCAAAAGAATTGTCGAATTAAAAATTACAAAGTGTCATATATATCTTCCCTACAAAGTGAGGGCATTTGGTCTAGTGGTATGATTCTCGCTTAGGGTGCGAGAGGTCCCGAGTTCAATTCTCGGAATGCCCCTCTTCAGTTTCTTTTAATCTCAACAGAATCGGTGTTCCGTCAACTCACCGCTTTTTGGCTTTTGTAACTCTAGAATCTCATCTCTTTGTTGTGATGACTGTGGAAAAGCATAAACAAGTATAGCCAAATATTTGGAATGTAAATGTCAAGTCGAAACAGCTTTAACTCTTAATGGGCGCAACGTAAAGGATAACCACTTGCCAAGCATGGGAGTTGTTCCTTTTTTGTCTGCTCAGCAAGAAGAGAGAACAAACATGCAGCCTTGAACCAAATCCAGAAAGAAATAGGGGAAGGAATCCTTTATATATGTATAACGAGTAGGAATTGTAAAGATATACGTATAGATATATTGAGAAAAATATATTTTCTATCCTAAGATATTGTTTGGCAGGGAGAATCGAAAATTAAGTGGAGGATTAGTGTTGGAATGGTTAAGATTAATATATATGCATTGAGTTTTGGCTGTTAATGGATAGATGGAAAGAGCAGAATTTATTACAAAGAATTGTAACTTTAAACTCATTAATCAAACAAAACCTTAATTTTACGATAATTAATCTTATATTTTAGTTAAATTGTGTCGAAACGAGATGGCAAATCATAGCTATTAATAGAACAAACCAAGAAACAGACAAGAGTTAGCACGAGTATGAGACACTAACAGATAGTAAATTAAATTCAAAATGAAGGCAAGTGCTGTTCATATTGGCCCTTTGCTGTTTGCTATCCAGGAAAACTGTGTTGCGGACCGCAGTATCACCCGTCCCACCCAGTTGCCTGAATCTGATCCAGTGGAATTGAAAAGCAGTCAATTTCTTTAACAACCTCTTTTCCTTCCCTTCTTTTTTTAGAAGTAACCTGTTTTCCTTCATTATCAGAAGGTGGCCTGATTCCCGAGGCAAGTTCTGGATCAATTTCCGGATTCCAATCAATGTTGGTATCGATGTACAGGTCTGCACTAGGCAAGTGTTTCTTGTAAGGAAAACCATGGAATTCTGCCCAGAATCGTTGTTTGGCTTTGTCGAAAGCCTTTTTCCCAGCCGAATCATTCCATTCATAAACCTTGTCAGTCCGATAGAGATTGTTCTTTGCTTGCACAAATCTTTTCCAGGGCATTGCACCGACTACTACGCAGAATCTTCGCTCCCATGCAGGCAAGGGTTGCCATAACGAACCTGGAAAATGAACATGGGAACAAATCGAATTAGTACTACGTAAATCAAAAGTTCCAGACGTCCATGCTAGTTTTAAATCAACTTATAATCAAAGGCAACACTCAAATATATAACCATTTATATTGTTCCTTTAATTTGTTTTCATTAACATAAGAAATTAATAAACGAGAGAGAGGAAAAGGTACCAGTGTCGACGGGTACCCTTGCGGGCAAGTTTGGACGACTCATCCTTGGACCTCCATGTCCATAACTTTCTCGACGATACTTTCGCTGATAATCTGACATGTTTTCTCCAGAGAAAAGTCACCGAGGAAACGAGGAGGAGGAAGGAGACGGTTTATGATATGTACATGAGGTGATCTTGTGAAGAAGGATTGAGAGCCACGCCTTAGTTTGTATAGTGTAACTCCACCGACTCCTTGTTTGACAAGGATTACCTGCTTGCAAGTTTGTGATTTCAATGTCGAAATAGGAAAATTAATCATATAAATATTAATTTATTTAGTTCGGTATTTTCGTTACAGTGTCTATTTTAATCTTTCATTTCATTTTTAATTATAAAAGAATATAATTTATATATTGTTTTATTATTTATAAAAAAAATTGAACATCATTAATGGACTAATCTTTTTAATTCGTGTATATTTTCATTTTAATCTCCTGTTAAGGTTTAATTAGGTAAAATTCATTCATATATAAGGTAAATTAATATTGAATCCATGTATAATTATGACAGAGTACATGATTTATCCCAATTTATCTCTTATTCCATGAATCGAATGGTCAAATAAAGATAGTCCTAATTTGTTTTTGGACAGTTAATGATGCAAGATGCCCTGAAGCTTCAACCAGGATAATCTTCCTTTTCTAGCTGACGTAAATGATTAGTAATAATTAATAAAACCATATCCTTGGCTTAACAAAACGTACACAGACTATTAGATTTCGCCATTCTTTTTTTGGAAATTGAAAAGTCATTAAGTAATCACTTAGGTAACAAGTTAAGGACAGCGGACCCTTATCATCTTGTGCGACCAACCAGTGTGATTTGGGTCCTTAATCTTTAAGAACATTGCACAGTTAGCTGCTTGCCTCCTTTGAAATAAGATACCATGCAAAGCTCGGGCAGATAGCCAGAAAGAACTAAATTCGTTGCATAAAACCTGGATTTCTTAACGCTCGATTCGGGAATAATAAGAAACGCTGTGTTATGAGAAGCAATTGTGTAATCATAAAGCATTACGGGATATTTATATACTTAACTTGTGAGAATGAAAGAGAGAGAAAGACTTCTAATAGTACAAGCAGAAGGACCGATAGAATTTAGAACACAATAATTTTATAATTATTGAAGATACTAGGATTGTAAATACAAAGCAAAAAATATTTGTATCATCCCTCCACATAATTTCTCCCATTAGGGCTATATTGGTGCAACAGTATGCGATAGCTCCTCGAGGGCATACGCTGATGCTACAGCAACCAGCGATACAACCTGCTCTATATTCTATCTATGTTTACTATAGCTGCTACGCTCTCGTTCCCTGGACCCTCTTGAGTGCCGCGGTTCTTCTTCCCACTCAGCTGATGGTGGCGGTGAGGACTCATACCTTGAGGGCTTCCTTTTGAAATGTCTATCATCGTCACTAGACTCATAATCTACAGCATTGCTACTAGTGCTCTTCCTCGCACCGCCACTAGTAGCAGAAACTGCCTTGGTGGCAGCTGAAGAAGTCTTGTAGTCATCATAGTATCCATTGGAAGACGGCTTGTGATGGCCAGAAGATACAGGTGCCTCAGAAGATAGCTTGCGTTTCTTGCTGACTTCTCCTTCTGGAAAGCTAATGCGAGAGAACACACTACCCTTTTGCTTCTTATCCATTGCTGATGTAGTGGTCGTCGAAGTGGCTTTGGTGGCAGTTTCAGGAGCAAGCTTGGAAGATTCAGATCGATGTTGATGCTGGCGCTCACGGTCACGGTCACGATCATCATAGTCATAGTCATGATCACGTTCACGGTCATGATGCTGATCAGCTTTTCTCTTTAAAGGGCGGGGAGGTGCGTCATGGTCCCGCAAGGAGCGTTCCGGTGAGGTCCTCTCTGATCGGTGCCGAAGATGTTCATGGCGATGGTCACCACCTGACATTTGAGGGATAGGCTTCTGCAACAAACAACATAATTGAAATGATCAACTTAAAATGCATTCCCTCACATTGAACATCCAAGAGGAGCCAAAAAACACTCATCCTAAAAGCTGGATCTTTTTCTTTTTTAAAATTTATCTCCCATTTGGGGGAGCATATTTCCCGCTATTAATGTTGTTCCTCAGAATTCTTTGACCTCTATTAACAGATCATCAAAATACCATTCTGTAATCGTGTCACTGCCATTGGACATGAATAAAAGTAACCGTTTATTTATCTTTCCAATAAAACAAGAACCTTATAGTAGTATTTTATGAATAGCCACTATAAATATACATCACTCTTTATGTTGATTTTGAGGATAGAAATAAAAACGCATAATGCAAGAGCTATTTGGTAGATGAAGACAGTAGAGGAACTGGAGATAAATAGCAGTCCGCAAGTACTAAGGAATTCCAAATTATTTTTTATAAATACTTGAAAACCAGCACGGAACAAACACAGAAACAAGCTGAACTGGAACAGAACTTCAATTAGCAACTTCATATGACAAGCTTATGTCTAACTGTATGCCAATGAGTTTGTTATTTTCATGTTTCACTTTGCTGCCTTTGTGGAGGTGATTTACTTCAATCCCAATAAGATTTGGCACCATTACTGAAGTCCTCAGGATGGATTCAAGGTTTCAAGTATGTTTCACTTGTACTTCATTACAAACTCAGAAACAAATGGCTGAAAACAGTCTTAAAAGAAATAAGGAATGAAGCAGCGTAGAGAGCAAATATTTAATAGTATAGGTAAACATGGTATGACAAGGTTGCAAAGTTCCACAAATACATGCTTAAACTGCGCAACTCGGACTAACCACATATGCTTATACTTTTTCAATGTAAACCACCATAAAATTTTGCAGAGAGAAGAGCCAGAGAGAGAGAGAGTAGAAACTTCAAAATTTTTCAGTACGTAGGGAATTAAAAAGGGCTGCCTGAGTCTCAATTTTATACCCTTCCTTTGACTTCTCATGTCAATAAGCGGAAGATATGTGCATAACCAAAATAAAAAACTTAAAAAGTGAAAAGCATCAACCGAAACAATCAATGAATCCCATTTTATTTGAACCTAATGACAGTATGACACAAAATAAAATCTCATATTCCTTTCCCTGAAGAAAAAGTGTGATCCACAAACAAGGGTGGTGCCTAACCAAACGGTTGCTGGACATCAAGTAGCCATATCTCCTGGCATCACAGCCAAAAAGAACAGAAGAAAACTAGAAAAATAAAGAATACATACAGATTTAGACTTCAATGATGAAACATCACCACTGCTGCTCACTTCTCTACTGAATTCCCGATCTCTAGAGAACTCCCTGCAACAATTTTAGAAATAGTAAGCAAACCATTTAATCATGTGAAATTCATCCCTGTAAATAACAAGCAGAAACAAATTATTTTAAACCTATAGCAAGCCCTTTTCAGGGATCTCAGGACCTACATGCACTATGATCCAGGGAGTAGGCAAAAGGCTAGGAATTATTCCCAGGCCAATGGAAAGTAGTCCAATTGAACAATGAGTGTACCTAGTCAGCTTAGAATGAGAAAGTATGTTCAGTACCTTTCACCTCGTCTCTCATTTTCACGCTTCCTCCTCAAATCAGCTTGCCGAGCCTCAAACTCCTCTCTACTCATGATAGGTGGGGCAACATTCATACCCATTCCAAACTCAGCAAGATCTCTATAAAGCATTCAATTCGATAGTCCATTCAGAGCTAGTGAGACCATAAATATCCAGATAGCATCAAGTTGCATATTTAGTCATAAGCTCATTGATATTCAAGCCAATAATAATTCCAAAACACACAAATGCCATGCACACACTCAAGCAACACAAATGCAACCAGTACAAACATAGCATAGGCAATTTAACAAATGTTAAACATACCTCTGAGGTGGGATAGGAGGAAACATGTAACTTTGAGCACCAAAGGGATCTGGAGGCATGACAGCTCCAAATGGCACATCCAATGGACCTAGTCCATAGCCCCCCATATAGGGCATTGCACCAGCATAAGGACCCATAAACCCATCCATCCCAGGCTGCATGCCAGCCCAGTAAGGATTATAGGCAGAGGGACCCATAGACATCATATAGTTCTCAGCTGCAAGATCCTGAGGGGTTTTCCACTGCAAGTCTAGAGGGCAACAAGAATAAGATTCAGGTTAGAAAACATTCCTCATGATTTTAAAAAACTCACGTGGCTTGCACCATCAACAAATAGGAAAAGGGGCTGCAGACCTACCATTTGCTGGCAAACGAACCTTCTTCTTTTTCTTTTTCTTTCCTGGAGAAGAAAAACATCACAATTAAACCTTCACTCCATTTATTTTCCTGATTTCCACTAAAGAAATAATACTACTCTCTCATGATACACACACAGAACATCCATCCAACTCCGAGTGCAAGATGGAATAGGAAAGAAGATGGCATAAAAATTTAATGCCTGAAGAATGCATGACTTCTTAGAATAGACACCAGAAAATTACTTTAAAAAAATGACACAAGTAATATATCGCAGCCACAATCTTTTAACGACAGGAATGGTACAGAGGCTGACATGGAATGGGATAGCCCCACTCCAGCATTTTCCACTCAGGTTTGAACCCTAAATCTCACCACTTTCGCGAGGTCAGTACCAATGTTCTTAAAGATTGTCTTTCAACCTCACCCAACTAACATAACCAATAAATTAAGAAAAAAATTTATCATTACCTGCCTCTCCAGAAACCACCTTCTGTTGCACTTCTTCCTCTGCAAGTGGGGCACTCCCTTGTGATGCAGGCTCCTTCACACTCATCGACTCCAGTGTAGCCTCAGATGCATCAGCAGGTTTAGCAATCTTCACTTTCTCCACAACCTGCTGTGGCAGAATAGCTGCCTTCACCTCATTAGCTTTATCCTTCACATTAGGACTTTCTTCCTTAGCAGATACTGGCTTCTGCTCTCCCTTTGATGCAGCAGATGTAGTAGGAGATGGAATTTTTGGTTGTGGACACCGGGCAGACTCCATATCTAAATTTGAAAGACAGGAAAAATCAATAATGTTTCTAACATCATAGAACTCATTAATGTGCAATTCATTTCATTATGTCAATAGCTGATGAACCTTGAACTTGAAAAGTGCTTCCAGCATTGTCAGCACTGCTGTTACCAGACTCCAATATACGATTAATTGTATCTCTTAGAGTCTTATTTGGCAAAAGATCATCGGCGAGTATGTTTGTTGCCCCACATACGCACATTGACTTTGAGATAATGTGGTCCCTTATACCTGAGTTACATTTTAAAGTGAGCTTTAACATGCATAAAAGAACCTAAAGATGCATGCAATAAGTAGCTATAAAACTTACATTTATCGCAAAAACTCTTGAAACAACATTTGCTAGTTAGAACAGCATCTTTCATCACTTCCTTGCACAATGGGCAATGGAGTTCAGGCGGAAGGTCACCAACAGACCGAGTGGAAGGTAAGCCCTCAATTTCTTTCTCAAAAGCAGCCCTACCAGATGCACAGAATCAATTGTCAAGCATAAATAATAGAATTCCCTACAAACGTCGACAAAACCACACTTATAAGACAAAACACTTACTCATTGGGTTTCAAAACTGCAACTGCTCCACTTGGCAATGCATAAGAGCCATCTGGAGTTGCCATTAGCATTGACTTTGGAATGCCAGTTGGAGGCTTTACCCTTTTGATATCATAGTTTGGATCACCATTTGTGGGGCAGTGCTGAATAAAGTGCCCTGCATCACAGATTCTATAATAAGCACAGGTTCCCTAAAAGGTATAATCTCAAAGCAAATAGGAAAAGAAGAAAGAATTATCAACATACCAGGCACCTTACAGCGGTGACAAACATAACCCTGAGGAGGTGTTTTGCGCTCCAATCCTAATCGACCTCAATGAGAAAAACATATCCTTCAGCTCCATATACAGTTTCAGAAGTACAATTACAGGAATGAAATGTCCCACAATTTCAAAACTCACCAATCTAAAATAAGCATAAATGGCCATAACTCTTTCAAGCACACATGTTTACAGAAAAAATTATTATATGGTTTAGAAACAACAGTGAATGTTCAAACTTCAATAAATTTACAAGAGCATAGAACACTGACAAGCTCACACCTAAGTGATGCAACTATGGACATGATCAGCGCACTCACATGCATTATGACAAACTAACTAACAAATCACACTGCTAACATGCAAAAGCACAGAGGCACATTTATACCACAATACTAAGCAGCAGAAAAAGATCAAACTTCAATGATCTAGAGATTTAACATAAAAAGAACATCATATACACAAACTCGTACACCCATCCACCAAGACACCCCACCATGATAAACAATGCAAATAAAAAGAAAAGGGCATAAGAGAATCACCAAAACCACGCCCACCCATCCTCCCACCCATACCCCTTCCAAAGCCTCTACCAGGTCCAAAACCATCCGCACCTTGGCTGCAAACCCAAAATAATTAAAATCAGTAAGAATGAAAATTGCATCAAGACAACAAACAAAAGAATAAATAAGAAAAAAAAAGAAAAAGAAAATAGCAGTCATCTCACCGCTGCCAGTCCAAGGCAGGAGTATCAATTAAAGCCTTAATTTTGCTGTCCTCATCAGCTTTATTCGTAGGAGGAGCATCAGGAAGTGGATTGCTTGACTGCACTGGCAGTGTTTCAGGGATTGAATACAAATCATTCCCAAATTCATCCCATTCGGAGTCTTCAGGCTACAAGTTAAAATCAAGCTTAATATTAGCTTTCTCTTCTTTTCTCTTTGCTGATAAATACAACATTCCTCAAATGCACACAAAAGCTGAAACTAGTAGCATGAAAAAAAACCAATTTTCGTCAACGAAAATATACTAGGAACAAAGCTTACATATTTTGCAACAGTTGCATCAGCATCCAGGAGGTTACTCTTTTCTGGTTGAGCATTTTCAATCTGATTTTCCACCTTAGGCCTGTGAAGTATAATAAAGCCCAAACTCAAACCTAGAATCAAATTTCGTCTCACAATAGTACACGGTACAAGTTGGAACTGATCTAAACAAACAACTGATCAAGTTCATACAGTTAACTGAACCATTCATACTTGCTTTTTTAAAAAGTCCACGAAAATTAAAATATTTGAGTCATTAGGTATCTAAAGGATCAAGATAGTACTCTTGTGCAGCAACAATGGGCATGCGAGGCCTTCCAGGAACCCGGCGAATTAGTACAGAAGTATTTTTCGGGATTAACATTGCTTCATCAAGATATTCTGAAATTGAAAACAGAGAACGAGTCTATAAAACACTACAAACAAACTAATCTGTGAATGACAAAAATTACTAAAATACAATCTACATATCCAGTCAAGAAAGAAAGAGTGAGCCACAACAGAGCCCAATGAGAATTCCAATAAAAAGGTAGATTTGGCCACACTGCAAACTAACATTTTTATGCTAGATTCAATGAAAAGTCAGAATCCCCTCCCGAAACAAACTATTCTTTGTCGATTTGGTCAGTAACTAAGCATCCAAGTAACCTGACTTTTTCAAAGGAAGAACCCCAACTCTACACACTCAAAAGTACAGAAAGCTAATCAAGTTTAGAACCAACTACATAAGAGAAGCTATCCTCGTGATAAATGTCTATTTAATTTTGGGGCAACCATTGTATCAAAAACTAGAAAACCTAAAACCCAAAAACCAAAACCTTAAATCAATTTGTCTGTGTAAGGATATAAAACAGCCAAATTAGAAAGCCGACACTCCCAAAGGATAAACCTATGAACATTAAATAGTTAAAATATTACTAAATGCATTGTCTGCCTCCAAAAAAATTAGTTAAGCCAATTAAGATTCAATTAACTATATCTAGCAAAGAGCAAAGACCAACCTTCGTTAGTTTGGGCATTAGTGACAACAAGGTCGAAGTCGGTACCCCTGCCCAAGTGCTTTGATTCGAATATTTTTTCTTTCAAAGTACCAACGCTTATAAACGGACCATCCATGGCAATTGAATCAAAATCTCTTGCACTCTTAAACTTGTAATAAACAGCCATTTTTTTCCTTTTTTCCTCTTAAAAATAATAATAATGAACACAAAAAAAGTTTAATACTGTAATGAACTTATTTATTGGCCTTTAAAAAAAATTAAGGCCTGATATTCACTCAAAAAAGAAAACAAATATAACCAGTACAAAAATTTCTTTTTTTTTTCTTATATTCTAAGAGAAACCGAACCAAACTCGTCGATTCTTCTCCGATGCAAAATCCGAAGCTCTCTTCAAGAAATTAACCCGGACAATTTCTCCACGACATTCAAAGAATCGCCGAATTCCGAATTTGTCAGCGAAACCAGAAGTTTCGAATTAGAGTAGGGCAAAGCCAAGCGAATTACAAAAAAGCCCCTTGGTCATAGATCTTGATCAAATTCAACAGGAACCCTTCGATTTCTTTTATTAGAAAAATGGCTTCGAAAAATCAATTGTTCGCCGATCCAGATCTTCTAAAACTCGAACAAATAATAAATCTTCAGAAACCGAATCCCACGACCGGTCGATCTTCAAAGAAAAACTCGGCAACTTCGAAGGTTGAGATTCCGATAAGCCGAAATTGAAAAGAGATTATTAAAAGATTGAAGAACCTTGATTAAACATTGGAGGGATTCAAATGATCAGCGATCATCGTGTACCTCTAGGTTAGGGTTTGGGTAAGGACGCTTCAGAGAGAGAGAGAAGGGGGAATAAGCGAAGAGACTAGTTCAGGGCTATCGAAACGGAGGTTCAGGGCCTTCAAAAGGTTCGGTGTTTATCTAAATACTAGTTCGACCGCCATATACCCCGCACGTGTGGTCGGTGCTTGTCAAAAGTAATTTTCCACGCAAATTACAAAAATCTGCGAATTTTTATATTTAATGTATTATTAATAAACTATATATCAATATTTTATTAATAAATAAATTTAAATTATAAAATAAAATATTTTTAATTATATTTAAAAATTGGAAATATAAAAAATATATATTTATTTGGATAAAAAATAATTTTTTATTTTTTTATATTTACGTAATGATACGGGCAACATTCAATATTCAAATATAAACAAATTATCTTTATCAGTCAATATTACTTTGGAAAGAAGTAATGGGCATCAATTGGATAAGCAAGTGTGTAAAACTTGTACCATCAAAATCCAATAATCTGACTGAAGATAAATTGCAGTCAAATCTTCCGACAGCCCTCGAACCCAAGATCTCAATGAGAATGATGCGTGCATCAGCCGGTAAAGATCAAGGGACGGCTAGAGAAGAAGATAATTTAAACCTTATTGATTTAATTTTTCTTTTTTTTGAAAATTGATTTTGTTGCACCTTAAGCCTCCGTGCCATCCAAAACTCTTTAACAAATGTTAGAGACTTCTACTGACACTAGGCTTGAGTGAATCAGAGATACATACAATTACACGAGAAAAGTTGCTTCATAGGATTGAAGACAACTCCTAGCCACAATGATCATTAAGACAAAAAGACAAGCTCTCTACCTAAAACTAGCAACTTAACCTAACCAAAAAAGAGCAAAATACTTCAACAACTTAGCATCAAAACCTTTTTCAACTTATTGGTTTAAATTTAATACAAAGATAACAATAGCAGTTGCCAAAATTCCTAGCACTGAGCATACCCACTCAAAAGTCAAAACTAAAAGAGTTAAATTTCTTTTTCTTTGAATAACTGGATGTGAAGTTTTCGATAAAACAACATAACTCGCAGCAAACACTTTGATCTATTTAATCTAGGTTTCCTAAAGAGGGAAGAAAAAAAAATTAACAAAAATTAAAGAAGGAAAGACAATTTCACACATCAGTTAATATTAATGAAGATACAATCACCACATATGCTAGAAAAAAGAAAATTGCTATTTGAACGAAGAACTTTGGATTTTCCCTCATGTTTGGAGATGTAACCGCCCTGCAAACCAGAATCCATTCACTTTGTTAAGCCCTGAGCTGGAGGAAATGGATAATAGAGGACAGTGCATGTGAAACATATGATTCACCAAGTGGTTTTTGTGGAACTTATGCAGCAACCAGACACTACCTTGCAATTCGCTGTGAAAATCGATGAAATGGCAAACTCTGGATGAAGACAATGCCTGGTCCTGTTAGAACGGCTGTCACCAAATTGTCACCCTGCAATTTCGCAAAAAGGACATCACAATCACAAGGCCATAGGTAAGTGATATGCAGCCATGGGCATCAAGCAAACTCCTAAGAAGCAGCGCTACTGAGACCACACCATCTCATCAATCATAAAAGATGAACCATATGTGATTAATAATTCTTGTAAGTACAAGCTGCAATTAACAAGAACAAATTTCTTGGCCAAAATACAATTAAAAACACACACATACACAAATTTTAACAAAATAAAAACATGCATGCACCACCACCCCCACTCAACCACTATCATATCTCGAGAGTACAAAAAAACTAACTCAAAGCAACTTACTCCAAAAACTGCTCTTCTCATTGGACCATTGAATTTGATTTGGACATCGATGGAAGCAGTGAGGGCCACAATGCATGACATGTCAACTGCCAACACCTCACCCACCTCAAGATTTTTTTGCACAACTAGCAAAAGAAGGAAAACCACAGAATCCCATTGATCAGTTTACCTAGGGATATATCTATCAACTTCAACTTTTTGCTGAAACTAGCAAGAGGAATATGTTATCAATAATTGGTTAAGCAATACGAAAAGACTTTTTTTTTTTTTAAACTTTCCAGGGAGGGAAGGGGAGAACAAAAAGATCATAAGAGAAAATGGGAAGAATGAAATAAAACATGCTCTTGTATGACCTCTAAAACATGCATATGAACTTACATAGAAAAACTAAGTATAGCCCTAACCTGTCATAAAACCAAAAGGCAAGCAAAAAGTAAAAGGTTGTGTTATTTTAAGCACTCAACTAACTCTAACAAAAATACACATACCAGATCCACCAGCAATAATAAATGCAAGCCCCTGGCCAGATAACTTCTGTCTCAGAAATCCCTGTCATAACAGTACCATGTTCATCAAATACACAGACAGAAACCGCTTGAAAAACTTTGAGAAATAAATCAAAGAAACAGAAATACATATCAGAAAAAGATCAGTTGAAGGCAGCTTGAGTACACATCTGATAAAGAGGGAAAATGGAAAAATTAAGCTATCATTATGTCACCTCTACACCAGTTACGACATTTCGTGGCCGCTGATCAACCGTATTATTGACCTTCACATCATTGATGGAGCAAAGAAATGCATCTGGCTACAAAACAAGTTAACAAGATGACATAAAAATTCCAGCTAATGGAATGAAAAACAAGTTAATTCTGCAGCAAAATTGAATTTCCATGTAGTTATTCAAATTCTCAACTTCAATGAGAAGTACACAGAAAAGGAAACTAATAATTAGAGGAAAGAAAGGAGAATGACCAATGAACAAGTCAGCTACCTGACACAAAAGCTCTCCACCAAACATTGCCAAATCAATCTGTCAAATAAACATGAACCAGGAACAAGAGAAAACTCATGGTTAGCCATAAGAAACTGACAATTCTGGGATCATGAAGTACTCAGACTTAACATATTCTATAAATAAAATAAGTAAATTGTTGACATTTAGTTAGTTTGAAACACGAACCGGAAGAATCCTTGCAAGAGAAGGTGCAGCAATTCCAACGAATCCATCATTTGGACCAGGATTGCAAAGAGCAATACTAGTTATACTCTTGCCAAAAAGCCACTGCCACATGCCTACCTCGTTTTCAGGGACATAAGTGTTTTCCATTTCAATGGACCCAGACATGAAGCACATCGAGCCTACATTTTTGTTTATGTCACGTCCATCACAATTTGCATGAAATAATGTTTACATGATACCAAACAACGACTAATAGAATGCAGAAAGCCAGTCATCTTATTGATTCAGCAGTTCTCCTAACTGTTCTTCAGCTGATGATCTAATTCATAGGAGTTTGCTGATCATAATTATAAGCAACTACAATGGGATAGGGAGAGATGGTCTAAATTGAAACTAAAGTAGATTCTCCATTTTATTAAACTTTTTGAATCTTCTAACCACTATTTGTACTACAATATATTCTAGGCAGTAGAAAGCTCTAGCATTTCAAATTGGAGAGTATGGGGCTGAACACCTAGTACCCAACAATAAACTTATCCTAGTACCCAGAAAGCCTAGCCATTCATAATTTCACCATGAAACATAACTGCATAATCACCAAAATACTAAAACTATGATGAATAGCATTGAGACACTAATTCCTATATTAAAACACAAAAGCATAGTAGCACTAATCCAACCGGGATACAACAGCGCAGAGAACAACCTACCAGGTTTTGCGATAACTTTTTCTTGTGGCTTCAACATTATCTGGCAAATGAAAGAATCAACACCAAGATTAAAAAAAAAAAATTCACAATCATAGGGACCGGATCATGGGCGTAATTAAAAATGAAAAATCCTGATAAACGCTTGGTAGTACCTGAACTATTTGAGCCTCACCACCCAATATTTGAAATGGTATCACAGCATCTTGCGGACTCTGCACGAATTTATAACAACATGAGATTATGAAGCATATGAAATATATGTTAACGTTGTGACGTTTACACGAGACAAAATTAATATTCTAATTTCCACTAATTTCCTTTAGAAAAGCTGAAAAAATATTTGCTGTTTCCCGACCTTGGCATTTACACTCGCTATTCTCACAGTTTGATCACTGCAGTCTCAAAACTGTAGAAAGTTGTGTACAAATTGATTATAAAGGGATCAATTTCAAGAGAAATGGACTCAGAGTCAACTCTATTTAAGGAAACCCAATTTACGAATCTTCAGATCAAATGCCAAAGTAAAGTCTAAATTTGATTAAAATTTCACTCCAGTAAACAAGAAACAAAGTTCAATTTCCTTCAAATGTTACCTCAATTTTCTCAGGAACCAAACAGAAAATCAGTGAAGGAGTAAAAAAAAAAGTTACCTGATAAACGTAAGGTTGAAAAGGAGTAGAAAAGAACGGGGCGGCCATCGAGAGATCTCGAATGAGAAATTAGAACCTCCGATTTCGAGATTTTAACCCGGGTTCTACACTTTAGTCACTAATTCATTTCCGCTTCAAGATCGAAAATAAGGGAAAAAATAAAAATTAAAATAGATTCTTTCAAAAATTGCTTGCTCCACTTTTCTTCTTGCAATCGAAGTGGGGCGATCCGAGATTAAATAGGTAGAGACTCAAGTTACGGAATTAGCCTTAATAATTTTGTGATTTTTCAGGTGCTTTGGCGGGACATGGGATGTTCGGTGGCTTTTTAGTCATTTGAGATACCGGATTCGGTCGACATTAGAGCGTGTGATGAGGTGGCGTTGCGTTATTGGTAGAAGTTGCAAGTCTCGACGTGTTCGGAAATTGTCAGTCTAACTTTATCATGGAGAGGAGCGTTGGAAGAAACGTTTCTCGTCGCTTTACCTGGTTCTCTATCTGATTTTTCTAAGGAATAAAAACAGAAAATCTATTTTATGAAACCATTTTACCCTCAAACTTGCCTACTTACATAAACTTCAACGGCTGGTTTGCTTTAAAAAAAAAAATATTGCTGACTTTTGTTTCAAAAATGAAAATTAATTACTTTTGCCTATAATAGCAATTTGTATTTATTGTGTAAATTTGAGTAATACATATATACATCAATGAATATTTTAATAATAATAATTTGTTTGAAT